AGATCTACCATGGGTTTGCAAATTTTGTCTTTTTCCTGACCCTTTGTTCAGTTTCCCTCCTGTAAGTGAAACCATCCGATATTTTTCTTTTTCTTCTGACTTATTTCATTGAGCATAATCCCTTCTAGCTCCATCCATGTTGCTGCCGATGGCAAATCTTTTTTGATCACTGAGGGGGGTGTGTGTGGGGGGGGCGGGTGTTGGAAGGACATGGAGCAGGTTTTCTGATCCAGCAGACCGGGTAAAGGAGGAGTCCTGGAGCCCTCGGTGGCTTTTGCAGGTTTTTTATTTAGATTACCAGGTACATGGCAGGCAGGGGTGCTGGGGGGCCAGAAGGTGCTGCTGTCAAAGGGAGCTCACCTGGGCTAAGACTAGGCTTTTAAGGGCGGTGTCACGGGGACACCAGCAGAAGCTAAGAATGAACGGAAGCCAAAAGAAGAGGAGAAGCAGAGAGAACGCCGGAGAGCCCAGATAGAGTGAGGATTTGCTGGGGGCTAGGAGGACTGCCAGCCTCCCGGCCCCCCAGCACCCCTGCCTGCCATATGCCTGGTGAACCCCAGTGGCAAAAGCCACTGAGGACTCTGACTCCTCCTTTACCCGGTCTGCTGGATCAGAAAACCTGCTCAGTGCCCTGTTCCTATCTGTAGGGTAAGGTAAAAGGCAGAAAAGCCTGATACTTTTTACCTTACCCTGCAGTATCCCATATCGCCCACATCTTCTTGATGCATTCACGTGTCCTGGGACATTTAGGTTGTTTCCATATCTTAGCTGTTGTGAATAGTGCTGTGTAGGGTAAATAAAAAGCATCAGGCTTTTCTGCCCTCCCGCCATCAGGATAGATGACGGAACCCTGCGGTCCTGAACGCATGCCTGATGGCGGGCACCTGGAGCAGGGTGTGGGCCTAGGTAGATGGGATTCACCTGGGCTGAGACTGGGCTTTCAAGGGCGGCGTCACGGGGACACCAGCAGAAGAAGAACGAATGGGAGAGCAGAGAAAAGAACCACGAGAGAAGCAGAGAGAACTCCAGAGAACACCAGAGAGCCCAGAAAGAGCAAAGACTTGCTGGGGGCTGGGAGGCCTGCCAGCCTCCCGGCCCCCCAGCACCCCTGCCTGCCGTGCACCTGGTAAATCCCAATGAAAGCCTGAAAAGCCGCTGAGGGCTCCAGGACTCTCTCTTCCCCTTACCCTGTCTACTCAGATCACAGAGATCCTGCTCAGTGCCCATTCCTGCCCCTTACATGCTGCAACAAACGTAGGGGTGCAGGTTTCCTTTCAAATTAGTGTTTTGTGTAGATTCCTAGGAGTGGAATCACTGGATCCTATGATTTGTGGAAACTTCCAGACATAATGAGAAGTGAGGAAACCCACCTCAGCTGCCTCCACGGGTCCAGGGCGGCACGTGACACCTCGTGGGCGTCAGGGTTTCCTGCAGAACCGAGAGTCCTGCACTGGCCGTGATAAATTGCACCCACCTCCCATCTCAGGTAGCTGGATTCATTCCCTTTTCCTTTACAGCGCTGGCTCAGAGCCACCATCAGCGTTGCTTTTCCCCAGAGAAGATCCTGGTTGTTTCAACCTGAAATGTCTCCAGGTAATCAAAGCTCCCCTGGAGTAGGGGTGGGGTGTAAAATTGCCCCCAGTAGAGAACCACTGGACAGTCTGGATTGTTATTACTTAACAATGATTCCCTTCTCCTATGAGACCGAGGTGCCTGTCAAAGGGAGCTCTGGCTGGGTCAGGCTTTGGAGGTTGCCCCAGGGCCTGCAGTGGGTGGCACGGTCAATGGGAAGCCGCAAGGCTTAATTCCTCAATAATGAGATTGTCATGATGAGTAAGTGCTTTGGGGGCTAAGATTTATGTTGAAATTTTGAAAAATCTTCCCAGGAGGATTGTCTGGAAATTTTTCTAGCTGGGGTTCTGTTGAGGATGTCCCAGGATGACTTTGGACATGAGGTTTTTTTTTCTTTTTTTACAAGATTTATTTTTTACAAGAGCTGGAGCACAGGCCAGAGGCACAGAAGGGTGAGAGAATTCACCAGAGACAGAGCGGGCAGACAGACTGAAAGCACTGCTGAGGGTAGCAGTGGGCGAGACAGGAGAGGTCTGCCGTGCCATGTGGGTATCTCCTTGGCCGGCCGGGAATTGAACCCACGCTGCAGAGGCTACGACAGCTTCGCAGTGCTGTGCTCAACCCACTACGCAACTGGGGAGGCCCGAGGTCTTGATATAATGCCTTGAATTTAGAGACTCCCTTCTCCTGCAAAAGGTGCCTTTTAAGATTTGAAGCCATTGGGCCTCCCTGGTGGTGCAAGGGGTTAAATCTCAGCACTCTGAAGCTATCTGCAGCCACTGCAGCACGAGTTCGATCCTCAGCCTGGGAGGTGACCCACATGGCACAGCAGACCTCTCCTGTCTCACCCTCTGCTCCCCTCAGCAGTGTATTTCAGTGGATCTGCCTGTTCTGCTCCCCACTCTGTCTCTGGTGATTCTTCTCACCCCCTGCACCTCTGTTCTATACCCCAGTTCTTGTATACATACATACATAAAAACATACATACATAAATAAATATAAATACAATTTGAAGCCATAGACTGTGTTTTGCAGAAACATTATAAAACACAGAACAGGAAATATATAAAGAGGAAGCCCAGAACTCAAACCCTATCACTCAGAGAGAATTTCTATTATAATATGTTTCTATTACACTATATGGGTGTGTGAATGTGTATGTGTTTTTAAAAGGGAACATACCATTTTCTGACCTTCCCTTTTCATCTAACAGCACATCTGGAACATCTTTACATATCATTAAGCAACAAATATTCTTTCACAAAATTCTCTTATTTTTCCTGCTTGAAAACCTTCTGTGGCTTCCGAAGGCCTGGGAGCAGTCAGACTTCACAAGGGGAACTGGCTGAGGCCAATGTATCTTGCAGCCCACGGTTTGTGTTGAAGCACAGTCCCTTACAGGTGTTACCCGGGCACGGGAGGCTGGGACCACAGGCCTTATGAGGGAGAGGGCAGAGACGGGGTTTGGGGAGTCACTCCTGCCTCCAGGATGACGCGCAGATGTTGTTGGCTGCTGCTCTTTCTCTCCAGTGCCCAGCCTCAGTCTGTTTTTCTGACTGTATCCGTCATTTATAGAATTCTTTCCAGTTACTGCTCTGGAATATATTTACTCATTTCCTCTTGTCATTTTTATCAGGGGCCATTTCCAACCCAAAGAGTGCCATGATAAACGTCCTTACACATAGGCATTCCATCCTCATTACTTGTGGATGCCATATTTCAAACTCCACCATTAACGTTTGTTTGTAACTCCAAAAGAGACATTTGTGGTGCTCTGGTGGGCAGTCGTGGGCATGCGCATGCATAGAGAGGTGAAACATTTGACCCGTACGATGCTCGCATTCCCAGCTGAGGTCCAGCGAAAGGAAGCTCTGCCCTCTTGTTTCCCTCGTACTGTGAACACGTGTCCTTTCATGGTATATTTAGTTGCACATTTTTAGCATGCAAGTGCTTTTTAGGCATGATTTTGCTATTTACAATGGCTCCCAAATGTCATGCTGACGTGGTGTCATGTCTAATGTTCCTAAGAAATACATGTGTTCAGTAAGTTTCCTTCAGGCATGAGTCATGGGGCTGTTGGCTGTGAGTTCAGTGTTAATGAATCAAATATATAAATATATATATTTATATATTATATAAATATGTGTGTGTCTATACAATGTGGTGTCTTTAAACAGAAGCACACATAAGACAAGATAAAAATGTTGATAAAATGTGACCAAAATGTGTTGATAAAATGTTGATAAAAATGTGACCAGAGCTTTGCAGGAAGCTAACCTTATATTTCTCCTAGGGCCTAGGAGCAGTGACTATGATTAATTCAGTTGACAAAATGAATGACTTACAGAATATGACTACTTTATAGAACATGACTACTGCACATAAGAAGAATCAATGCATTTCTTTGCATGTGATCATGATTATTGCCTTAGAATAAATTCCTGGAAACAAAATTAATTGGGTCCAAGTAGAATACCTCTTTGGAGTCTTGTATCGGTTTTGCTATGAAACAAACCTCTCTCCAGCTCAGTGGCTTGAAATAATAGCACTTTTTATTTCTTACAAGTTTAGGGGGTAGCTGGTTTTGTTGATTGGGATAAAGCTCCGCAGGTTTCTGTTGAGTTTGCAGATGTGTATGGTCTGATGGTGGATGGGTCGGGGCTGGCTGGCCTAGGACGACCTCTCTTACAGGTGAGGGTTAATATTTCCCATCCTCCGGAAATTTGCCTCTATTTGTCCCTGTGGCAGCATCAGAGTTCCAGAAGACTGAGTGGAAATGGTCAAGTCTACTTAAGATCTGGGTCTACAGCTGTCACAAAAATCATTTCTGTGGCATCCTGTTGATCAAAGCAAGACCAAATCCAGATTCAAGAATAGACTCCAGCTCTTGAAAAGAACTGCAAAATCACACTGCACAGGGCATGGCTACAGGGAGGGAGGAAGACTTGGGAATGTTTCTGCAAACAGAATCTCCCTCCAAGAGCCAAAGGGCCTCTCACTGATCCTTGCTAACACAGAGACATGGCATTGGCAGCATAGTCAAGCAGGAAGTAGGCCCTACACAGCTGGCCAACAGTGTGGCCTTGGGGAAGCAGCTTCACTTCTTTGACCCTCAGTTTTCTTCTCTGTAAAATTGGGATTAAAAAGGGCATACTATTTTTTATTGGCTTAGCATGAGAATTTATTGGTAACACTAAGCCTGGGGAGCAGTATATGCTTAATAGTCAGTTTCCATCACAGTATTTATCTGGATCTGTGGCAGGTGAGGATCTGTGGCAGGTGAGCTCACAAACACAATCTGAGGTGAGTATCATCTCTATCCACTGATGAGATAAGCTGAGCCCCAGAATGGTGATGTGACTCACTCAAGATCTCAGAGCTGGGGGGTGGAAGTGTCAGTTTTTGTAGCGGGGCTTATTTTTACAAACCTCCAGAAGATGCTGGTCCTTGAGCCAAGAATGCAGCTTGCATTTCATCACGGATACACCCATTCCACCATGAGGAAGTATCAAAGAAAGCTGAGTAGGGAGCAGGGAATTTCCACCCCACCCAGCAGAAGTGAAAGGCTTTTCTCTGTCTCTTCTAGGCTGGCATCAAAGGAGATACACTGGAGAGTCAGGACATTCACACTGTCTGAGGACACCTTACTCTGCTGTCAGAGGAGGACACATTTGTACCATAGTGATTGACAGCTGAAGCTAAAATATGTCCAGTATGGCTCTAAATGGATGCAGAAGAAATCTGTAAGACAATTATATTACAAAGGTCTTAAGGAGAAATAGATTGCTGAACCTCACTTGAACTGGTAAAATGGTAACAGTAGATTGTATATATCTATATATATAGATATATAGGTATAGATATAGATAGATATAAATAGACTTATCTGAAGCAGTTTTGAAAGGGAGCTCTATAGCACCAGGGCCTCTCTGGTGACCAAGGGCTTAAGTCTCAGCACTATCTCTGCTATGGCCTGAGTTCAATCCTTGACCAGGGAGCTAACCCACATATGGAGCAGCAGACCTCTCCTGTCTCGCCCGCTGCTCCCCTCAGCAGTGTATTTCAGTCAGTCTGCCTGTTCTGCTCCCTACTCTGTCTCTGGTGAGTCCTCTCACCCCCCACACCTCAGGCCTGTTCCGCTGCTCCCCTCAGCAGTGTATTTCAGTCAGTCTGCCTGTTCTGTTCCCCATTCTGTCTCTGGTGAATCCTCTCAACTCTCACACCTCTGGCCAACACCCCAGTTCTTTTATTTTTTTTTTATTTTTTATTTTTTAACACCCCAGTTCTTTTAAAAAAGTATAAATGTAAAAGCAAATACATTTCATTTAAAAAAAAATCAATAGCACTAAATGCATATATGAGAAAAGAAGTCTCACATCAATAATCTCCTACTTCAAAAGTATAGAACAAGAAGAGCAAAACAAACCTAAAACAAACAGAAGGAAGGGAATGATAAAGGTAAGAGCACAAATCACTAAAACTGAAAACAATGAAAAAAATCAATGAAACCATCATCTTTGAAAAGATCACCACAATTGACAAATCTAAGTCTAAGAGAAAAAGTCACGAATTACCAGTATCTCCTGATACTGGTAAGACAGGATCTATCACTACAGACTCTGCAGATATATCAAAAGATAATAAGTGGGCCTCCCTGGTGGCACTAGGGGTTACGCCAGCACTGTGAAGCTGTCCGCAGCCTCTGCAGCATGAGTGTGATCCCCGGCCAGCCAGGGAGCAGCCCACATGGCGCAGCAGACCTCTCCTGTCTCACCCGCTGCTCCCCTCAGCAGTGTATTTCAGTCAGTCTGCCTGTTCTGCTCCCCACTCTGTCTCTGGTGAGTCCTCTCACCCACTGCACCTCAGGCCTGTACCGCAGTTCTTGTATGCATAAATAAATAAATATTTTTTTAAAAAAGATAATAAGAGGCTCTACAAACAATTCCATTCACAGAAATTTGACAAACTCAGTGAAATGGACCAATTCCTTTAAAAACACAAACTACCAAAACTCATGCAAATTGGAGTAATTTCAATAGCAATATAACTATTAAGGAAATTGAATTTGTAATTTAACAGCTCCCCCCAAAGAAATTGCTAGGTGGTTCACTGGAGAAGCCTACAAAACATTTAAAGCATCAACAACAATCCACACAATCTCTTCCAGAAAATAGAGGAAGGAAGTACTTCCCAACTTATTTTATGAACAGTGTTTCTTTGACATCAAAACCAAAGACATGCAAAAAAGGGAACTACAAAACAATATCTCTCATTAGTTTAGCAACAAAAATATTTAGCAATATATTAGCAAATAGAATTTAACATATAAAAAAGAATTATATATCCCAACTAATTGGGGTTTATCCCAGAGATACAAAATTGGCTCAATCTTCAAAAGTCAATCAATGTAATCTTCCATAATAACAGAATAAAGAAGAAAAATGTCATGATTATATCACTTGATGTGGAAAACATATTTGACAGTGTTCAATACCCATTCACGATAAAAGCTTTTAGGAAAATAGGAATAAAGGGAACTTCTATAACTTGATAAAGAGCAAAATGAAATGTCTATATTTAATGTTATTGTTAATGATAAAAGAAAGAACCCTTCCCCCTCCAAAGTCAGGAACAGGGCAAGGATATTTGCACTTACTACTTATTCAACACCATGCTAGAAGTTCTAGCTAGTGTAATATGGTAAGAAAAGGAAATAAGGGCATAAAGATTGGAGCGGGAGAAATAAAACTGTTCCATTTACAGATAACATGATTGTCCACATAGTAAACCCCAAGAAATTTATAAAACATGTCCTAGAACAAATATTTTCAGCAGGGTTTGAGGATACAAAATGATATAGGCTATGTAAACAAAAATCAATTGTATTTCAATGTATTAGCAATAAACTCAAAAATTTTAAAATATAATCCTATTTATAATTGCTGGAAAAAAGGATGTAAGCCTAATAAAACTTGTAAAACACAATACAATAAAAAACTCAAACAAGATCTAAACAGACATAATGTTCATGGATTAGAAGACAGCATAATAAATCTATCAATTCTACTCAAATTGAAGGATAGATCTAACACAATTCCTTTAAAATCTCAGAAAGATTTTTTTGCAGATACAGACAAGAATATTGTAATATTTAATGGCAAAGCAAAGAAGCTAGGATAGCTGAAAACAATTTTTTAAAAAGATTTATTTATTTATTTTATACAAGAACTGGGGCACAGGTCAGAAGCAAGGGAGGGTGAGAGAATTCACCAGAGCCAGAGTGGGGAGCAGAGGAACAGAGCAACTGAAGACACTGCTGAGGGGATCAGCGGGCGAGGCAGGAGAGGTCTGCTGCGCCATGTGGGTTCCCCCTGGCCGGCGGGGAATTGAACCGGCGCTGCAGAGGCAATGGACAGCTTCGCAGCGTCGTACTCAACCGCTGCGGTACTCAACCGCTGCGCCACCAGGGAGGCCCCTGAATACAATTTTTTTTTTAAAGATTTATTTATTTATACAAGCACTGGGTACAGTCAGAGACGCGGGAGGGTGAGAGAATTCACCAGAGTCAGAGTGGGGAGCAGAGCAGGCAGACTAACGAAATACACTGCTGAGGGGAGCAGCGGGCGGCAGGAGAGGTCTGTGTGCCATGTGGGACCCTTGCCCAGCAGCCGGGGATCGAACCGGCGCTTCAGAGGCTGCGGGCAGCTTTGCAACCCAGCGCTCAACCGCTGCGCCACCGGGGAGGCCCCTGAATACAATTTTAAAAAGAACGAAGTGAGAAGAAACAATCTACCGAATTTCAAGATTTATTATATAAATACAATAATCACAGCTGGTAACTGCAGAAGACAGGCATGTAGACCAGTGCAACAGAATAGAGTACTCTAAAATAGATCCACATAAATGTGCCAATCTTTTGACAAAGTTGTAAAAATAATTCAATAGAGATGGCCTTTTCAACAAATTATACTGAAGCAAGTGTTTATTGGCAGACAAAAAAATGAACCTCATGCAAATGTCAAACTTCATAAAAAATTAATTCAACATGGATCACAAAACTTAGATGTGAAAAGTAAAACTATAAACTTTTTAGTAAAAGCATAGGAGAAACTCTTTTGGATATAACTGAATTCTTAGATCTAATTCCAAAACATAATCCATAGAAGGAAAAATTAATAAACTGGGCTTGATCAAAATTAAAAACATTTCTCTGTGAAGGACTCTAGTAAGAGCATGACAAAACAAACGACAGACTGGGAAAAATATTTGAAAACCACATATCCACCCATGAGTTAGTATGTAGAATGTAGAGAAATAGATTAAAAATTCAACTATAGTCTTTTAAATAATAGTTGTTAACTTATTAATTATTATTATTATTAAAATGTGCAAAAGACATACAGATGGCAAAAAAAAAAAAGATTTTCAACGTCATTAGTCAGCAGGAAAATGCAAATTAAAACAAGATAATATATACATATCAAAATGACTATAAAAAGTTAGTGACACCACCAAATGCTGGTGAAGATCTGGAGAAACTGGATCACTCATAGATTATGGGTCGTTGGGGATGTAAAATGATACTGTTGCTCTGGAGAGTGTTTAGCAACTTCTTAAAATTCTAAATACCTAACTACCATATGACCTAGCACTTGGGGGCATTTTTTTCAGAGAGAAATGAAGACCTATGTTCACACAATTATCTGTAGTTCAAAGGTCACAATGTTTGTAGCAGATTGGGTTTTTTTTTAAAGATTTATTTTTATTTATTTATGCATACAAGAGCTGGGGTGCAGGCTAGAGATGCAGGGGGTGAGAGGATTCACCAGAGAGAGAGAGTGGGGAGCAGAACATGCAGATCTACTGAAATACACTGCTGAGGGGAGCAGCGGGTGAGACAGGAGAGGTCTGCTGCGCCATGTGGGTCACCTCCCTGGCTGGGAATCGAACTTGGGTTGCTTTATAGTGCTGTGTCTTAACCCCCTGCGCCACCAGGGAGGCCCCAGTAGGTTTCTTTCTTTCTTTTTAATAACAAAGTGCCTTACATTGGAAACAAATCTAATTTCTTTCAGTGGGTAAATGGTTAAATCTGCTGGTGTTACATGCCATGGAATACTACTCAGCAATAATAAGAAACACTCTTCCAAGTGCAACAACCTCCAGAGATTATACTGAACAGAGAGCCAATCCCCAATGATCTCACTTGTCATTATTGAAATGACAAAACTATAGAAATTGAGAACAGATGAATGGTTGCCAGGAGTTAAGGAAGGGACATGGACTCCGCTAAGAAAAAAAGCAATGTGAGAGGTCCTGGGTGATGGAAATATTTTGTATCTTGACTGTATCAATGTCAACATCAGTTATATTGTAGTAGAGTTTTGCAAGATGTTGCCAACTGGATATAGGATAGATGAGTTTCTATTATGAGTTCTATTCTTCTTGCTTGTGAATCTATGATTATCTCTCAAAGTTAAAAGATTAATTAAAAAAGGGAATCCTGTCTATAGTTGATCAATCATTTCCAGTTCCTACTTTGTAGAAAGAAGCAGTCAAAATAGTGAGAATAAAGAGAATCAAGATTTGCCAATGTAAGGCTGAATGTTAATAATATTCTCCTAGCTTTGTCCTCTTCTGTCATTCAATTAGGGGGTCTACTGAGATTATTCTAGGGGCTTCCGGTCTTTCATCTATTTATCACTATTATTATTTGTTAATGCTTCCACAGGGTGAATTCACTCAGCTTTCAGGTTGCCCTGGCAACCTAAGACTAATGTCCCCACTTGCTACTAAGAGAAATTAGAAAAATGATTTGCTTAGAAGCCTCTGAATACAGGTCCCACAATTTTTTTCTTCCTCTTCCTGGCATCTGCATCATTGGATTTGGAATAACTCTTTATTTTTCCTGATCATTAAATTCCTCTTCATCTAGCATCTATTTTAGGTCATTTCAGAAATTACTGGCTTTTGAAAACAAGAAAAGACTCAAATCCAGCATTTTTTCTGGACCTGAATCTTTCCATTTAGGGCTAATTTGGACAAAACCAAGGTTTCCTCTGGGCCCATGAAGGAGTTGCTGTGGATCGGAAAACAGTGAGATTGCAGAACTTCTCTTCCTGCAAAGGGTTTTGTAATTTTTCCTGATACTTCTGGGAGTAGCTGCTCTCAGCTGACCACATTTGGGGCAGGTGTGGGGTGGGATGCTGAGATGGCATTGCTTCTGGTGTTCCATGCTTCCTGTGAAAGACTCCCCTCCCCCTGCCCAGGGATAAAACTGGGAAGCGGAAACAGGCAACTGGAAAGAGGTGGCTTTGAGATCTGCCTCCCGCACCCCTGCCAGCCCCCACCCCAGAGCAGTCCATGGCTTCTCTATGGTAGTGTCATCCAGGGGAAATCATGGGGAATTTTACTTCAAATTACATCATTTACATTGGGAGAAGGGAATCACATGTTTCACAGACCTACCATTTGCCAGGGATGATGTTGGATGCTTTGTTATGCCTTAATGTGTTGAATCTACATTCCTGAATCTTCAAAACCACTCACTGAATTAAGTATTTGGATGAACCCCACTATCTAAATGAGAACAGCAGGGCTCAGAGAAGGGAGATTTGCCCTTAAGGACACACAACTGCTACTTAGTGGAGTCGGAATTTAAAGCCAAATCTTTCAGAATCCAAAGTCCAGAGGCAGTTTCCTGTAATGACTAATTGGTTAAGAGCGCAGACTGCAGTTAGATGGATGGGGGTTGTCCGAGCTGTGTGACTGTGGGCAAGTGATTTAACTTCTCTGAGTCTCGGTTTCTTCATTTTTCTATAGAGGGGATTAAGAATTGTTTCTGTGGTCAGGGATTTCAGGAGATTTTTGTCTGCAAAGCACTCAGTGTGTGCCTGGCCAATAAACAATGGATAAAAGTCAGCATTAATTTGTTTCCAAGAAGTAAGGGCCACTTGATTTTCAGTTCCATCTCCAAGCACTTTAATTTTTTCGCAACCACTCAGAGCTTGATGCTGTCAATGCCCTGCTTAATTAAAGATAGGAATTGTGGGGAGGGGAAGGGGAATTTCCCTCTACCCCTCTGGGTTCTTCTCAGCTTGGGCAAACAAATTAATATCAGACAGGTTAATAACAGGAAATAAAAATACAGATTTAAATTTGTCCATAAGTGCCCATATAGACATAAGGGAGTGTGAGGAACACGCTGGGCTCTGGAATGGGATAGGAACCCGGGGCTTCCAGGGGAGAGGAACTCACAGGCGGACCACAGGCTGATTCACATGAAGAAGGACAGGTATTCTGTAATTAGATGTCTGCCCTGCCATATAGGTTAGGTTTTTCAAATAAAAACCTAATTCTGCTAAAACCTAGTTCTGGGTAAGGCCACCCCCCACTAGTTTTCATTCTTTCAGGTTGTTAAGGGAGAAGTTTCTCAAGAGCTTGCAGGCCCTCCATGGACCTCAGCTGGAAACAATCCCTATGTCAAAGCGGCAGATCTGGGGGGGTCTGTTCTGAACATCTCCGTGGGAGCCCATCTTTCAGAATCCTAATAATGGCCAGTCTTTTGTAAATCACCAAATGGGGGACACTGCAGGCACTTCACCCCCAAGCCTCATTTACATGTAATGAGTGCCAAGGTCTTGCTGTGAAAGGACGCTCAGTCCCTGCTCTCAGCGGTGGCTGCTTGGAGGCAAAACCAAACCAGGGCTCCTGCCATATCATCCCCGCAGCAGCAGCAGCACCAGGGGCAGCTCTCAGACCCAAGGCGCCCCAGTTCCCAAGAACTCGGGGGACCCCTGAGGGGAAGGACTGAGGGGTAGCTGCTACCATCCCTCTTTCACAGATTAAGAAACTGAGGCCTACACAAGATGAATTCATCCTGAGAGCTGCCTGGATTCAGGGGGACCTCGATTTACATAAAACACTTCTGAGGCTGGCGTTGAACACGGAAACCCCCCTGTGAGTTGCAAAGGTGCTTTCCGAGGAGACATCGCCGCCCGGGCCCCGCTCCCAGCTGTTAGTTCGGCTTCTCACGCCCAGTTACCCAAACCGCGGCATCTCGGAGGGGACAGCGGCCACCGGGGCCCCCCCGGGCCGGGCCCGGGAGAAGCGGGGCGGGGACGGGAGCCCCGGGCAGTCTGTGACGTCAGAGGCCGCCGACTCAGGCCGGTTGTTAGGCCGACGCCGAGGGGCTCCGGACGGAGAAGCAGGGAGGGCGCCGTAGCCTCCATTTCCTCACCTGCGAACGGGGGCCAGGCGAGCCCCGCCGGCCGCGTGGTGGTGACTCGCGGGTGCGGCCCGGCCCACGCGCAGCCGCGGCTGTGGGAAGGCGGCCCGGGCCGTGAGGGGGCGGGGCCTCGAGTCCCTCGGGAGGAGGCCCGCGGGGGCGGGGCCTCGGCCGGAGGCGGGATTCCAGGGTGGGGGCGGGGCCTCGGGCGGGAGGCGGGATTCCAGGGTGGGGGCGGGGCCTCGGCCGGAGGCGGGATTCCAGGGTGGGGGCGGGGCCTCGAGCCCCTGGGGAGGAGGCCCACAGGGGCGGGGCCTCGGCCGGAGGCGGGATTCCAGGATGGGGGCGGGGCCTGGGGTACAAGCGCTCGGCGGGGCTTGAGGTCGGCCCGGGGGCGGGGCTTCTAGAAGTCGGGGCGGGGCTTTGTGGTGCGGGTGGGTCCGTTCTGAAGCCTCGAGAGGGGATTCCGGGCCAGGGAGCCGGGAGGCTGACTGAGGACTTGGGTGGGCAGAGGGTGGGCTCGCAGGAGCTCATGTTCCGCTTTTAAGGGGCCCTGAGGGCCCCTCTGAGGAGTCGGGGGCGCGGCCCTGCAGGTCCCAGGTGGTCCGCTGGTGGAGCCCCAGGAATCCCGCCCCGGGCTCCGACGAGCGGTGGGCGTGGCGCGGGCCGGTCAGCCGACGAGTGGGCGACGCGTGCGCTCGGGCACCGCCTTCCTCGCGGCTCCCTGCGTCGCCCCGCGCGGCCAGAGGCGGCGCTAGGGAGCGCGCGGCGCGGACGGACGGAGAGTGGGAAGCGGGCTTCCCCTTCCGGAAGTGGGCGTGGCGCGCGGCGCGCGGGGCGCTGGTTGGGCGCGGCGCGGCGCGGGGCGGGGCCTGCGTGCGGCGGCGGGGGCGGGGGCGGCGGCCCGCGCCCCTCCCCCGCGCGGCGCTCAGTGCCAGGCGGGAGGCGGCAGCGGTTGGAGCTTCGCCGGGCTGTGCAGCGGGGACTTCGGCGGCGCCACAGGCACCTCGGCCCTGGTGAGCGGCGCGCGCCGGGCGGGACCGCGCGGGGCCGAGCGGCGGGAGGGCCGGTGCCCTCCGCGTGCCGGCGCCGGCTGACAGGCGGGCGGGCGCCGTGCGGGGCGGCGCGGGGTGCGGGGCTGGGTCCGGGCCGCTGCGGGGCGCGGGGTCGGGGCTCCGGGCGGCGCCCTTGTCCGGGCGCGGGCGAGCCGGGGTCCCCGTGGGAGGCGGCGGCCCGGGGAGGCGCCCGGGCTCCGATCCCTCCTGGCCGCGCAGGAGCCGGGGTCGCGCGGGGTCGGGGCTGCCCCGGGGGTCTCGGGGCGCGGGGTGCGGCGCGGGGCGGGAAGGGGCGCTGCGGGCCGGGGCGCCGGGCCCGGGGGCGCGGTCTGAGCCGCCCGGGGAGCCGGCGGCGGGGGTCGGGGCGGGCCGGGGCCGCTCACGTGCGGCCGGCGCGCTGGGCCCGCGGGGAGGGGCGCGGGCGGCCGCCGGCCCCGGGGCCGCCGGGCTCCGAGTGCGGTGCCAGCTCGGGGCCCGGGAGATCTGGGGTGCGGGCCGGGCAGGGCGGGGCGGAGCTGGAGCTGGAGCGCCGGGGGTGGGGGGCGGCTCGGAAGGAAGATGAGCCCCGCCGGGGGCGCGCAGGGCTGGGGCTGGCGGGGCCGGCAGGGGCAGGGCCGAGCGGGGACCCTGCAGGGCCGGGGGCCTGGAGGGCAGCGTGAACGGGGTGGTCCCGAGAGGTGCTCCCCGATTTGCGGAGCGGCTGGACGGGGGCGCAGGGAAAAGGAGAGGTGCAGGTGGGGCTCCGCAGCGCCCAGATGACTGAGGATGAGGTCAGATGTTGAGGCTGGAAATGCAGGAGCCGAGCCCGCCCGCGGGTCCACACAGGCGCACACACGAGCTCTCGGTCTCTCCAGCGATCTGAATGCGCTGGGGGAAGTGGCAGGCTGGCTGCTGGGAGAGCCAAGAAGAAAGGGGCTTCCTCTTAGAGAGAGGCGCTGGCCCTGCCGTCCTTTTTTGGGAGTGCTCAAAGGGTTTTGATTGCTGGAAAAGGAAACGTAGCCTTTACTGCATCATGGTTTAGAATCGCACCCTATATTTGGCCTTCATGGAGGCTGCCCTTGTTTTGTGGTGTCTGAAGTCCTTGCTCTACATGTTGCAAACGTGGGATTCCGAGTGAGAAGCAAATTGCAAGTTGTTCATTTCCCCCAGGAAAGCAAGATAATAAAAGGCCTTTCTTTCCTATATAGCATTTAAAAAGAATTGACTATAGTGCGTGTTTTTGTTTTTTTTTTTAACTAGTACTGGGTGGTGAGGATATTTACTTCTGGAAACAGTTTTCCCCAAATATTAGGTCCTTTTACCCTGCAGCCTTCCTGCTCGGTTGCATTCTAAAACAGTATTTGTGGAACTCTCAGTCACTCTATATCATAATGCATTTCATTGTCCTTATCTGGCAGAACTCTATCCTGACACCAGGGCGAGCTAGAATAGACAGAAAGAAACACGATTAAGTTTAAGCAGTTGCTTTATACCGTCTTTTCAGTGGTGAAGGCAAATAGTTTATACTATTATCTGTTTATACTATTTCACTTTTACGTTCCTTGTAAAACTGAAGAAGTGGGGAAATCTATTTTGGAATTGATTCTGTATGTTTCAGACTACTAATATTTTTGCCTTGGAAGTAAATTTCAGAGTCACAGTGTTTGGATATGAAGCCTTAGAGTGATCGTTGGGTCTGAGAAGTTGCATTTATCGGAAAAGAATATGAAATAAACTGGGAATTGTGTTGTAGGTTAGGTTTCAGGGCACAATATTTTGTGATAGGTGATAGTCATGTGTACTGAGGATTGAACAAAGATTGGTGTAAAGGTCAGTACACACCTTTTTGACAAATTTGGAATGTGCCTTGTTTCTATTTGCTTTTGGATATTTGTGGAAGTTATCTTAAAGCCTGATGAATTTTAACAGACAAATACCAATGAGATATCACTGCACACAGTATTGAATTTTTCACCATCAGTTGTTGCTTTGCCTTGTAGGTTGTGCTAATCAGTATTTACGTATATTACTTGATATGTAGTTTAGAACTAGAGTTCACAAATAGCATTTTTAAAACATTATTAGATTTTTTTCAACTAAAGTTTTATGTTTAATGCATCTCTTACTTTCGGATCCAGCTATGAGGAGGAAAGTCATTCTAATGCCTTTGAAATGGAATGTTCAAAAGGATAAATTATTGGTTCTCAGTTATATAACTGGAAATGTGGAAATTCAGTTCTTTATGATGGTAAAATACTTAGTTCTTAATACTGTGCCTTAAAAACATTTTAACTGGTCTTTTCCCCTTTGACTATTTCAGAAGTGGAACAGTAATAAATTTGGGTGCTACTTTCTTATTCAGGGTACAAATACATATTTGTTTTCATTTAATGACTTCCCTTTGTTATCCTACTCTTTCCTGACATTTGTGGGTTTGTCTTTTTAAACTTAAGATGCCTTTTCTGTATTAAAACATGGAAATCCTCATGAATATTTCAGTATGACCTAGTACCTAGAATGTTAAGTAATAGAATCTCTCTGGGTTTTCAGTGCCCTAGTTTGGATGCTCTAAAGTGAGGGAACAAGATTCTGTACTCCCTTTTGCCAGCTTATTTTGTCTTCCAACAGTGCATAATGGAATCTTTTCTGTTTTATAACGATGTTATTGAGCTATAATTCACACACTATCCAATTCACCCATTTAGAGTGTGCAATTCAGAGGTTTTTAGCATATTCAGATTTGTGCAGCCATCACCACAATTTTAGGACATTTAAATCAGTCACAAAAAACCCCCACACCCATTAGCAGGTCCTCCTCCCCACCCCCAACCCAACTATGCTCTTCCCACCCCAGCTTTAGGCTCCAGTCTACTTCCTGTTTCTATGGATTTGCATGTTTTCGACATTTCAGGTAAATAGAATCGTTAAGTATGTGATCTTTTGTGGATATGTCTTGTTAAGTATAATGTTTTCAGGATTTATCTATGTAGTACCATTGATAGGTGTTTTGTTATATGTGTATTTAATATTTCATTGTATCATATACCATGTTTTGTTTAACCATCAATTATGATATCTCGGTGTTTCCCTTTCGGCCAATTATTAAACAATGCTGTTCTGAGCATGTGTACTGGTTTCTGTGTGGACATATGTTTTCATTTCTCTTGGGTATAGACCTAGGAATCAAATTGCTGGGTCATATGGTAACTCTGTTTCACCTTTTGAGGGACAGCTACACTATTTTCTGAAGCAGTTGTAACATTTTGCATCCCTACTGGCCATGTATAAAGGTTTAAATTTTCCCTATATCCTGAGCCAAGCTAGTTATTTGCTGACTTTTTGATTCTAGCCATCCTAGTGGGTGTGATGTGGTATCCTATTGTGGCTTTGATTTGCAGTTCCCTAATGACTAGGGAAGTCTAGCACAATCTTATGTGATTAGTGGACAGTTGTATATTTTCTTTGGAGAAAGACCTATGTAGGTGCTTTTCTCATTTTAAAATTGGGTTATCTTTTTAATGTTATTGAGTTATTTATATATTCTAGATACAAATGCCTTATCAGATAAGAGATTTGCAAAAAATCACATTCTGTGAGTTGTTTTTCACTTTCTTGATAGTGTCCTTTGAAGCACAGAAATTTTGAATTTTGGTGAAGTCTAATTTATGCATAGTAAAGTTGAAATTGATAATAATGGAGTTGGAAATTATTTAGACCTTAAATCATGTCTTCGCCAGTATTTTAGTTACATAAATTAAAAGCCAAATGTGAAAGAGTTAGGGAAGGATTGGAATTAGCTCGAGATCCAAAAGTATACATCCAGGAGCAAGTCATCCTCGGGTGGTGTCCTGCCCCATTGTCTGCAGTTCAAGTTCAGACTTCTTAATGGAGTGGTGAAGCAAGAAGTCTCTGATTTCAACTTGCCTCATTTGTCAGTACTTTCTTTCCTATGTTTTCATCTCCATTGCCGCTTCCTGAAGCTTCCCTGCCTTAGATCTTCGGTGATGCACTTGTTACTCTGCCATCTCTCTAAGAGTTGAATCCCTCTGTTCTTTGAGATCTTCCACGAGCCCTGCCTTGTCCTCATACCTGTCCTGTCCTCGGACATCCTACATTCATCACTGCTGTAAGGAACTGGACCTGACTTTGATATTACAGTCTGAAAGAACATTCTCATTCAGGTTCTTTCGCCTTAATCTACAGCAGCGGCTGGCACACAGCCCTCTCTGTGGGGTTGGTGGCCAGGAAGCATATTTAGTTTGGTAGGATTTAGCCACACCAGACACAGCGGGCTGGTCATGGTATTGATGTTATCAATCAGCCACTACTGGAGCCACCCCTATGCACATCTGATAATGGGGGGGAAATTGGATTTTAAGGGTGAATACTTCCTATTCGTTCTTTTGGGCATGCTCTCTTTCTTCTCCTGGAGCCTCTGACTCAAGTAGTATACTTTAGTTATAATTTGTGTTCTTATGTTCACTTTTAATACTTTAATTAAAAATGCTAAACTAAGTATCTTCCTGAGAATTGAAAGAAATCACTTGGCCATTTTGGGAACGTTTTCCTTTTTTTTTGTGCTCATTAAAGTGGTTGACTTGTGGCAAGATAGTAAAGAAGAGAAGAAAAAATAAACATCAGATTTCTTTTTTTGTCTCATTAGGCTTAATGAGCTATCCTTACCGTATGTAGTTTCTTGCTCTCAGGGAATTTAGTGTTTAGAAAAACCAAGGTAGTGAAACCCTCAGAACCGGACTAGGCGGGGTGTTACTCTTGCTTCCAATTAATTACTTCATCTCCTGGAGCCTCAGTTTCCCCCAGTGTAGCATGGTGCTGCTAGTGGTCATCGCTGCATTTGCTGCATTACTGTCAAAATTAAATGAGAAAAAATATGTAACATGCCTAATAATGAGTAGGCTCTGGCTAAATATGTAAGCTCTTGCTTTTCACCCCTCACTGTGTAAAGAGAGGAACTGCAGAAGATCCCATAAAGTGATTTTATGTGATAGCTTAACATTAGAAATAATGTATGGAGTCCCACTCTTACCACAGCATTTTAGACTTTGAATCAAAGTTGAATCACTGAAAAGGAAAAAATGTCTAATTTTAGGATAGAGAGGTGTTGGCAAAAAATGAGGCACTTCTTTGCCACTTATCTAAATTGGAGCTATCTGTTCAGACATGCTTCTCTTAATCAGGCGTGATCCTTGTATTCAATCTGTTGGTCTATCTTAAAGAAAAAGGTTTAGTGTCCAGGGGGGAAAAATTAATCTTTTTAGGATTTGAAGGGAGATTGCACTGCAGTGCCCGAGATGGTCATCTGGTTGTGACATGCGTGGCAGCTTTGTGGTCAGGTGTGACACACTGTGTGGGAAAAGCAGCTTCCTGGGATGTTCAGTTGGGCCCGTCATTTGAGGCTTACATTAATTAATAACAAAAATGGTTCCTCCTGTTTGCCACAGAAAAGAGAAATTAAATTAATTCAAAGGTCAGAATGAGAAAGAAGCTGGCTTGTAAATGGGAGTAGGAAGGCTTATATTTTGTGACTGAAAGCAGTGATTTCACAATATACATTTAATTTTTCACCCTTAGGTCACGCAGTTATCCACATTACTTTTTTACAAAATTAACGAATAATGGATCATAGCACCAGCGTCTCACCAACTTTTAAAAGTACATTTCATTTTAGGGGGATTGGGAGGTGATATCTCTGATTCAGAGATCCTCATTCTTGAAGTCCCTGAGGATCAGCTGGAGACCTTTATAAATACTAGCTGGGCTTGAGCTCCAGGGTGACTGAGCCTCAGCCAGGCTGGGAGTACCTGCCTTCTAGATGAGGGGACTGTGGTCCCAGGAGTTAGGGTCCTTCCTTCCCTCCTCGCCCAACCCCCTTCACCTTCTCCTATTTGTTGATGTGGATTTATAGTGTTGTGTGGATTAAAAAAAATTATTTTTAATTTTTTACAGTGTGAACCTGATAGAACTTTCTCTTTTTAGTCCTTTACCCAATGCAGCAGTTTTCTCCTAACCTTACACCGTGGTCTCTTGCCAGATCTATAAACTGAGCCTACTTCCATAGCGTGTATCTTCAGTTCATCACCACAATTGGTAGTTAGTACCTATATTTGTTTGTTTTTCTCACATCTTCAAATTATGCATGTATTAAACTGAAATTTGATCCATATTTTCAGAAGATTTTTTATTTTTGTTTTTTTTAAGATTTGTTTATGCGGGCCTCCCCAGTGGTGCAGCGGTTGAGCGCTGGGTTGCGAGGCTACCCTTGGCCTCTGCGGCGCCAGTTCGATCCCCGGCTGCTCCCAGGCCACTGGAGGAGGGTCCCACATGGTGCGCAGACCTCTCCTGCCGCCCGCTGCTCCCCTCAGCAGTGTGCTTCGGTCCTTCTGCCTGCTCTGCTCCCCGCTCTGACTCTGGTGAATTCTCTCACCCTCCCGCACTTCTGACTGTACCCAGTGCTTGTATAAACAAAACAAACAAACAAATAAATAAATAAATAAAAACATGCCTCTATTAAAAAAAAAAGTTTAAAAAAAAAAGATTTGTTTATGCATATAAGAACTGGGGTACAGGCCAGCAGTGTGGGGGGGGGATGAGAGGATCCACCAGAGACAGAGTGGGGAGCAGAACAGGCGAATTGACTGAAATACACTGCTGAGGGGAGCAGCTGGCGAGTCAGGAGAGGTCTGCTGTGCCATGTGGTTATCTCCCTGGCCGAGCTTAGAACTCGTGCCGCAGAGGCAGCAGACAGCTTCATAGGTTGTGTCTTAACCTCTTGCACCACCAGGGAAGCCCTCAGAAGGTTTTTTAGACTGCATTTTTGGGACACTTGCAAATCCAGGGAATCTCTTAGATAAGCCTTGGGAGACTTCTGTTCCTATTCTAATGTAAAGTTCCTTGATCATATTTTATCAATCTCTTTTTATTTCCCTCAGTCTTGTTATCTGTTAATATAAGCTGTGGCTCTAAGTATTAAAGACTCATGAATCTTGCAGAGGTGCCGCTAGAATTGCGTCTTGCCATCATCATTGGCACTCTCAGCCGTCTGTATATGAACACACTGAGTTTGACGTGAACAACCCCAGTCCAGCCCTGAAACTGCGTAGATGGTGCTAAACGAAACCCCTTAGCATTAGCGGAAATTGATCGTTGCTGCGCAGTATGGTCTTTCCATCTCTGGGAACTGAGACAGACCCAGCATTTGGGTGCTTGGCAGTTTGGTGTATGAGCCTCTTTTCCCCATCAGGCATCAGATGTGTTTCCCCTCCCCCACCCCCATGTTCCAACAACTGCTGATATCTTCCTCCTGGATGAATAAAGCTGTAGTTTTCCATTTTCATGAGAGGCCATAAACAAGTGAGAAAGGAAGTGTTGGGGGGAGTTAAACTGTTGTGAGGGGAGGGGCATGTATTTTCTACTCTTGATATTGTAGGGGTTCTTGACAAAACTCACAAGAACCTTCTCCTTGGGACAAATGTTTAATCTCCATTATTTGCTTACTTCACATAAAAGATACTTAAATTCCTTTTCATAATGGTCAAGCATTCTTTTCTGGTTAAAGATTCTAATTCTTTTCATTCTTAGAAACTTAAAGAATTGAGGCTGATTTATTATTAAAAACTCAAATGCTGCTCAAGTGGTGACTGAGAAACACATGCAAACTTGAGCTATCGTCTCTGGTAAGCAGAAGGATTTATTAGGAAACTAGTCACTTTATAAGCTAGATGGTGAAATAATTTTGTGGTTAGTTGTGTCTTTAGCTTAACATTGTCATCCTAGTTTTTCTTGGCCGGCAAGAGAGAGCCCGGAGCCAACAAGTGCTGGCCACAGCTCTTTGGGGTGATATTTAATAAGATGGGTGTTGTCTGTTTTAGAAATTGAGTGACTGTCCTTTAG